TGAGGGCATTTTTTTAGGTGAAATAAGCCAGGCACAAAAAGATAAACATTGTCTATTCCACTTGCATGAGGTATCAAGAGTAGTTAAACTACAGAAACAAAAAGTGGACTGGTGGTGGCCATGGGTGAAAGGAAGGGAAAATGCTGAGTAATTGCTTAATGAGTAGCCAATTTCACTTCTGTAAGTGGAAAGTTCTCAAGACTGATTGTTTAACAATATGTGTGCACTTAAATATTGCAGAACCGCACATTAAAAAGGGTTAAGGTAGTAAATTTGATGTTATGTGAGTCTTACCACAGTTAATATAAAAAATTAAAAAATCAGTAGACAACTATCTTATAGAAATATCTTCTCAGTTAAGGATACTGGTAAACAGCAGTTAGCTGGGGACAGTCTTCTTCTTCCTCAGTATTAGTACACTGGGGAGGTTGTGTTTTTATGTTCTCTTCTGAGTTTATTTTTCTCTTACATTTTCTACCCTCTGATATATTTTATTCATGTGTCTGTTTCTCCCATCAAAATATTTCATTTAGGGAGGAACTTTCTATTACATTTATGAGAAGCAAATCCTTTGTGTTAGATTTTCGATGCTAAACACCTTAGAAGGAGGAGACTTATTTCAGCTCATGGTTCCATGGGTTTCAGACCATGGTCAATTGGCCACATTGTTTTGGGGCCTGTGGTGAGGCAGAAGATCATGTCAGGGTATGTGTGTGAGAAAGCATGGAGGAAAGCTGTTTGCCTCATGGCTGCCAGGAGACAAAGAAAGAGGGGCAGGAAGTAGCTTGGTCCCAATATGTCTTACAGAAACATGCCACCAATAACTTAACCTACTTCCACAAGGCCACTAATGAGTCTGTCATCCCTAACAGCACTATTCCCTGGCAGCCAAGGCTTTAGCCTTGTTTGGACATTTCATATCCAAACCATAACATCCCTTAAGTAGGGAAGTGATAAGCATAGGCCTTTACTACAGTCAGAGTGTTTATGGCTATCAAACTACCCCAGCCTGTACTTCAGTGGCTACCTGAATTACATCTGCCATAAACAACAAAAAAGTGCTATGTGCAAAAGCTTTAAGATCATATACACAGTCAATGCTATTAAATATACATTTAAATTTAAATTGTGGCCAAGTGTGGTGGTGCACGCCTTTAATCCCAGCACTTGGGAGGCAGAGGCAGGTGGATCTCTGTGAGTTCAAGGCCAGCCTGGTCTACATAGTTCCAGGACAGCTGGGGCTACAGGGAGACCCTGTCTCAAAAAGACCAAAAAAA